TCGAGGCAACAAAACAATGAAAATAATTACACCAGATGTTTAAAATACTGGCCATTATTAGTGAAACACACTTCAAGACAGTTTAGTTTAAGCAACGTGTTGCCATTGATAATTATTATTATTATTGTACTGTTAGCTACTTCCACTTTACTTTTATTTTTTAATTAAGTACTTACTTTTATAATTTAATGTACTGTACATAATTCGTGAATTGTGACCTGAGCAGCCAGCTTGTTGGTAGGTAGCATAAACCAACCCTTTCTTCGAAACATACGTTGTCGAGAAAAATCCTTTAAGGAAGTTTATTGGAGAATTTGTAAATCATGGTGAGCAATTAAAGATCCAACAAAGATTACCGGTCCAATTACATGACTTCCCATTATGCCATAAAATACATTAATTTAAAAAAATATTACTTGATTTCGGCGTGAAACTACATCATGTAGGTTTTCCTGTGACGAGTATAGTGTTCATTATGTCGATTTGAACACTCCGCAGTTAGAAAAAGATTCATCTGTCCATATACTCGGACTGGTAAAACTGTTAGTTTCGATATTCTTGCGGATAAACCACCTACTGACCTACAAAATGTGACCTGGGACAATGCATCAATGGTAAAATAAAGCAAAGTGTCTTGAAATGTGTTTAACTGGATAATGGCATGACATTTTTTCGAGGGAATAGTTTGTAGTTATACCACCATTTGTAGGTATGTAAGTATGGATAATAAGTCAATAAGTGATGTTATAAAAATCAAAATTTTTCTAGGCCTACTTATATAAAATTTTGGAGGGAGTTGTAATGCCCAAACCCCCCTCTCATGAGTGCACCCCTGATTTTTTAAACATCTGATGTAATTATTTTCATTGTTTTGTTGGCTCGAATAGATTTTGTTTTGTTTTTTTTTAATTCATCACAGCCTACTTGATTAAAATACAAAAACCGTTGATATGACTGGTATCTTATTTTCAATCTTATCTTATGTTATGATGGCTCGTTGAAAAGAGAATTAAAAAATCTATCAAGTAATCTAAAAATCTCATATAGCGCCTATGTAACTTTAGGAAGTTGGTAAATGTTCCTCAAAAGTAGCCATCTTGAATTTTTTTGACATCAATTCTAAATTAAGCGTATCAAAGACAGTCACTTTTATATAAAACTTTTTTTTATATCTCTTATACTTTCGATGATATAAGACATTAAAGGAAATGACCAATTTTAGTTCTTTTGAATTTACGTCGAACCTATGCGACATTTTGAATTTCCACAAGGGAATTTTAAATAAGCATCCAAAACTGCAAAACATTGCCCATTTAACCAATTCTCTATCTTTAATAATAACAAAGTTACCCATACAATCCCACGCGATCTGGGACACACTGTATATATATGGAAACGAAATAAATGTTACTTTTTTATGTCGTATCCTGTACTCTGTATCTCCTCGACTTTGGTATGGCAGTAACAAGATGCATCTGTTGAATATTACGAGAACGACATGTTGGAAAAATGTGGAGGAGCTATCGATATTTGTCAAAAATTTCAGTAAACAATTTTTGCGAATCTTGGTAGCATGAGATGTACTGCTACTGAATATTCAGGATGTAGCATGTCAATAAAACATTGACCAAAACAATTACGTTGAGAGTGAGAATTAGGTACTACACATTTCAGCATTGGAATAGTAAAACTGTCAACAAAAGAATGGTGGGAATTTGTACGAAAAATTTTAATTCCAGTTGATCCTTGATCAGAATAAAAAAGGAGTCTATTTATAACAATAAACAATTACAAATAACGCGCGCAACGGCTTTGTAGGATGGGTTTTCACAGGATCCGTTTCCGTAAGGTGATTTTTGAATCGGTATGTAGGTAGGTACACTGAAAAATCCGAACTTTTTATGATATATACACATTTTATTCATTAACTAGAACAATTTAGTTTGTTATAGTAACCGCGTGACGTTCGTTACGGTTGTTTTATTACGTAAGTGCCAGGTCATTATCGTATATAAACATAAACGAATTCGTAGTGCACTTTTATAATTATCTACATCAATATTGTGACTCAGCCAATAATTGTCCTATTCCATAGAACTTGGCCTTTATGGCCATTGACTATTTTCCTTTCGTCGAATTTTTAACGCTTATTCACTGTTCCGCTAAATTCTTAAATAAAGTAAAACTAACTGGGTAACAAATGCGTAAGTTATGCGGGTACTTTTGCTTTAATTAATTTATTGTTAATAATCTCACGGCCTAGAAAAAGAGAAGCTAATGTCCGTAACGAATGGAGTGTTCCAGTAGGAAAATCTTTGAAAACATCCGTTAACTTCGAAATGTGCAAATAATGCAATTGTCGCATAACGTGACTTTGTGATCGTTTATCAGTAAAAATCGAAGATAAGTCGACTAATTGTAGAACAAGTATGAAATCATGCCCAGTGAACACCTAATGATAGAAGCTGAAAGAGACCTATACAGGAAGAAACTTTACAATGATGTTTGTTCAAAATACATTGTTACATACAATTCCAAAAGCCGAAATATGGAGCCACATTATTAAGTAACTTTTTCGTTTCGGCAACAAGAGAGCTTCGAGTTTCTTGAGGCCTGCACCATTGAATAGTGTTTTTATTCAATGCCTGCACTAATGCCATTTAACAAAAGCTGTATAAAAAAGCGGAACTTGTATTCAATTACTTCGCTTCTCGGTATTCGAATATATTTCACGAATATAAATCAATACGTTACCTACTCGTACTCGTCATATTACGTAATGTGTACAGACAAAAATAAATTTTTTATTGGGTTAATTGAAGGAACTTCTTTACCCCATTTTAAAAATGATAGAAGGTATTGCAAAATCTATAATTGGATCGCTGCATTTTAGAAAACCAGGACAACAAAAATGTATCTCCTTTCTCCAGATCCAGATTTACCCCCTCCAGGGTCCTGAGACACGACCATCGATTGCGCCCCCCCCCCCACATATTCTAAGAGTATGAATGAAAGAAATCCGCAAAATTTGCCCCTTTAGGTATTGTACAATTCAAAACGCGGGATTGACCACCAATTGCATTATAAAACGTCGAAATGCATTATCTGGATGCCCAATATGTCACTGTGACAACGCGATTTTTGACAAAAAGGTCCGTATTTAGCGTTGGTGAATACCTACCAGTGGTTACCTCATTTTTATACAAGACAGCAAATAAACTATCGTAAAAGAAAGGGTTTTTACTTCAATCCCTCACGTGAATTTGTTTATTACACCTACCTTTCCCATGTCAGTCACAAAAGTTTTTCAAGAACGTCACAATATCTTTAAGAATTTTTTTGAATCGGGTACTAGGAAGGCCTTAGACGGATTACTGACACATCTTATATCCCGGAGACCTTTCAAGAGTTCTAAGAAGATTTTTAAAATGCTACCTAAGAAGAACAAGTGACTGCTTTATGGTTGTGAAACCTAAAGAATGAGCTTATGCTCATTTTTCGACGTTTCCATGTAACTTATACGTGCAGTTCTAGTGAACCTAATCTATCAAATGTTTTTATTCCCAACATTCCTATTTCTTCAGCCTTCTGTAACTTAAAGCTATTATGCTTATTCTTGGTGTTGGTACGGCGCATGAAGTAAAAAATGGGGACTTTAAAGGGCGGAAAAAAATGTTGAGTGCGCGGTTAGAGTTAAACATACAGATATGGTAAGAGGGTTGTTGTAGCATGCTTATAATCTCGGTATTGGTGGCACGAGAAGTAAGGAAAGGGGAGTTTGAGGTGGGAAAAAAATTGTTAAGGGCGTGGAAAAGTTAAACATAATAAATAACATGGTACAAGGGCTTACGAATGCTTACTCTTGATATTGGTAGCGCATGAGGTAAAGAATTTCGACTTGTAAGGACGCGCAAGGGTTAAACATGATGAAAAATGGTAAGGGGGTTGTTTTGACATGCTTATTCTCGGTAGTGATGGCGCAACAAGTAAGGAAAGAGGACTAAAAAGTACTGCGGGCGTGAAATAGTTAATCATAATAAAAGCTGGTAAAAGGGTTGTATGAGGGTTATTCTTAGTATTGGTAGCGCATGAAGTAACGAATGGGAACTTTACAGGACGAAAAAATTTGTTGAGAGCGTGGAAAGGTTAAATACATAAACATAATAAACAAGTATAAATTGTGCACAACTCTTGTACAGATAATGCGCATTTTTTTTTGAACCGAAATAGCTTTTGTTTTGACATCACCAATGGATATATTTCTTGCAGACGTCTCAATCGCCATTTGTGAGTACTCTCTTCCGACAATCCGTCAAAGAAGAGGACTATGGTTGGTAGAAATTAATTCCTTTCGTTGAGACCTTTCATTAGAGTACCATGAAGGATAAAACTAGTTCCACCCCCCTCTCTCTTCCTCCACCCCGTATTTTTCCCCCCCCCCCTCAGGCCCCGTCGCTCACTGATCTCGAAAAAGAGTCGCCCCCCATTTTCTAAAGTTTAACTAAACCACTAAAGCCATGCGTATGCAAAATCTGAGACCAATTGGTTGTCGTATGTAAAAGTTATGCACGTTTTACTTTCAAAAACGGCATCTCAGGAAATAATTCGTGATGGAGCCCCCCTTTTAGACAGCGAAATTTGATAGCCGTCTGGCACACCGTCAAGGTATAGGCTACCTACTGCAAAAAATTCCAGGACTCTAGGACCATTTCCCTAGAATTAAGTACTTCGAAACGGCAGAAGTGGGTCCGGACGGACGGACAAAACGCAAACAATAGCTCATTTTTTTTAATTCTTAAAAAATGCGTTAGTTAAAAACGGTAAGAGGGTTAGTTGTAATATCCTTAATCTCGGCATTTGTGCCGCAAAAAATAAATAAAGGAGACAAAATTGTTGAGGGGCAAAAATACTAAGCACGATGAAAAACAGGAAAAAAGTTGTTGTGATATTCTTAATCTCGGCATTGGTGACGCAAGAAGTAAAGAAATGTGACGTTACAGGGCGAAAAAAATTGTTGAGGGCGCAGAAGAGTTGAACATGATGAAAAATGACCTGAGGATTGTTGTGGCATGCTTATTTCTTTGGTATTGGAGGCGCAAGAAGTAAAGAAAAGGGTAGAGAATTTCACCTAGACAGGAGATCGTGACTAACCCACTTCGATCAATCGGCCGATGTAGCCCAGTCAGACAGCCGATTGGGTGAGCTTTCGAAGGTTAGTGGTAACAGATTGACTAGCGGAATGTAGTGCATTTTTTTAATGACCTACTCAATATCCTTCTAGTTACAGGTTCCCGAAGCTCAACAACCCAAATGTGCGAATTTCTGGCCCCGATAGGAAGAGGAGAAGGAAAGTCGGGATGCCCCAACTTTTATCCTTAAACTCGTCCACCACATTTAGGGGCGCAACCTCTATCCAGAGAAAGGCTTCTAAGACAACTCGGCTCGCCATTTATTAATACCAACGATCCACTGAGTAAGGGAACAGCTAACCACTGGCGGATCCTTAGCATATCCTCCTTCAGGGGATGAACGTACTCGAACGGGATCTCGAAGATCTCGTACGAGAACAACCATTCCCTGAAGTAACTGAAAAGGTGATCGTCAGTGGAATTTTCGAATAAGCCACTGCAGACACTTTCATCGTAAGCGCATTTCCTTTCTCATAGAGATTAACTCATTTTCCGGAACAATATCCCATACCTCTTTATCGCTTCATTTGTTAGTTTTATGTACTGAATTTTATCAGCAAGAATATTCGAATTGTAAATAATTTGAAGCTACGCCACTGTGTTGCTGCTGAAACTTCCGATGCGATTCTGGTCGAACGCGGAACGAGCTTGCACGAACCTTAAAAATGCACCAATCAAATCTCTCAGATTATTTTCCTAAGTTGAGCATGCGTGGTACATACACAAAAATGTTGGCGGCAATCCTTAAAGGAACCATAGCTTACATGTTACACTAACGGCTTCTAAAGCTGAAGAAGAAGATTCCATTTTGTTGTGAAATCTGTACGTAACGGCGTGATTTTTGGTTTTGCTAAAGAATTACTTTTAGTGTCATTGGTTTCGGCACTGTGGTCTTATTAATTGAATGAAATTAAGCTTAAATCTTTTTTTTTTTAATTTAGAGATGTCTCGCCATGATTTGACACCATGCATACGAAAATCGAAATATGCATTCTTAGTTAGAAACCTGGTTGTAAGCAACTTTTCGTTTTTCTTTATCTTTCTTTCCTATTCATAAGACTTCTTTACTTACTTTCTTATTCTTTTACCTCTAGTTCATTGGCAAAGCAGTCTTGTTAGTACCTAGTCTTATTTGGATTCATATTTCAGGACAAGTCTCGCTATTCGCAAACACCTATACCAGAAACACAGGTGCTTCACGATTTAGAAGAAGAGATTGGACTCTTAGTTGAATTGGGCTTGGAGACTGCTCCTGACACATGGTGGATTTCACCTGCAGTTTATGCAGTTACTATTAATATTGGTAAGTACATTACACAAACGTATAATGTGTAATGGCTAGGGTACCACACCTATGAATGCAAGCACACGGGTTCGGTTCCTTAGTCAATCCGACAATCCTTGGCGTTGTTCTGGTTTGTAGGATCAGCTTTGCCTCTAAAAATGAGTGCCTCTGGAGTTTATCCCTAATATTTGTTCAAAGTGCAAAAGTGCTCAGTGTACTATAATTATTACGTACATTTTAGTGGACGAGTTCCCCAACAAGAGTATAGTATTTAAGTTCTTGTATAGGTTGTATTACGACATTTCCCTTATGCCTCTCCGTCAATTATAATAGATTGTTATACATTGCAAGAGAGTGGCCAGAGTTTCGGGGACCAAGGATCTTGAACAATCAATAGTTTTATGTTAAAATATTGCTTGACCACACATCTAAATACATTACCTACAGATCGATATAGGTACATGAAATTTATAATCACGTTCAGCTATGCCCTTTAGGTTTATGGCTAGGCTATGACCTACTATAGAGGAAATACAAGTTCCTCTGTATTTCCTCTATGGACCTACCAAGAGAATGAACAATTGGTCCCCAAAATGCACATGGCCACATAAATTGCGTAAAATCCAACAGACTAAACCTTTGGACGTTTTCCCACCAATCAAATGAATCTATAAATAATGTTTTTGCCATTTTTTCATCATAATTCAGGTAGTTGGAATAAAAAAATATGCGATTTGGAATATCAAAGTGGCAAAAATTAACAAGCATCTTCATGATACCAATAGTTTCGCCAATCACAGGCAATATTCCCAACAACTTTGTTCCTTTTCATCTGTCTGTTGTAAACTTATACACTTTTCAGATCGAAATCAGAAAAATTCCAAGCAATCGGACCTTTAAAAGTGGTAGGTGTTGAATTTTAGTGTCTGTTATTGGCTTACTTGCATTTGTTATATTTGTTGATGCTGTATCATTGTATTGTGTCGTTGCTTGGGTTAAAGGTGAAGAGTATGTTGTTTTGTGGTGTTGTGAACCAGAAATGTATGTAATATGGGTCATGTGTGTTATGTAGGAATTTTCTAACTATATGTCATGTGTTAACAAGACTGCTGACTGTGGTATATAACTCCGGTAGTGGTAAGAATAACGAGAACTATAACACTTGTCTCGTTCTCCATTCTAGAGCTATATCAGTGTATTTGCGGTATTTTTCTGGATGTGTTTTTAGTCAAGTTGTTAGTGTTAGGAATGGCAATGTGTATTATGTAAATTGATTTTTGTATATGATCAATAACAATATCTGTAATGTCTGGCCTATTATTGGGAATAGTTTTGTCTGTGACTAGTGTCCTATAATACCAATATAATCTATGTATGTGGTTGTCAAGTATTATTATATTATGATTAATCTTTGATTGTCTTCAAAAATGGTAAAAGATTATCAAACACAAGAACTTTCTAAAGGCTTTAGAGCCTATAAAAACCTTTGAAAGAGAGTTTTAGAGTATCTGATTCTATCCTCTCTAAGAGCCCTCAAAAACATTTAAGAGCTAATTCACTAATCAACTATAAATTTTTAGTATTTTCACGACGTTGCCTTCCCCCTGCTATATGCAAGAGAAACTTCAAGCCAACGCATGTCAAACAAGTGTTTGGCGACCGGTAAGTTTCGAGATAATCCCTTGTGTAATTGCAGCAGATTTAACCTTTCAGAGGTGAAATATATGGGTACCGCAACCTACGAATAGATATTTACTATCTCGCAAACTCTGCCAAATGTTACGTAGACACAAAATACACCAGTATGGCAAATCCCGCTGAGTATCCTACACCAGATGATATATTAGCCAAGCTATCTCCGTGGCTTCCTGATGATTACAAAACAAACATCAATGATTTCATGGTAAAACTGTATACAGAAAGGCGCTTTCAAATGTTCGGTGCTGTCGTGGAAAGGGTACAGATCTATAATCGTAAGTTATATTTGCAATTTAACTTTTTTAAGAAACGACTTATAGCAACTGATGAAGCTTCCTATAAATATATTTTTACATGTCCGGCGAATGACGATCCTCTATTTAAACAATTTCATGTACGTTTTCAACGTATGACGGTATGGTTTTTTAAGGAAATCAAACTAGACAACGTTCAGGATCCCAACTGGATTTACTTATATGTGTAAGTATCAGAACCATGTTTGGTAAAGTAATATGCTGGTCAAAAAATGGTAAATAGAGCACAATAAATTTGGCATCTTGTCATATCAAAGGTAGTATAAACTCCTGCCCTAAAAATAGGATATGTGAATTGAACCAATTTAACTGCTGGACTTTAAACCCTTAGAAAACTGACCCACCAACATGTATGATCGGCATTTCAATTGACATATCTTTCATAAAATGGAAACAACAATATAGGTCTTACCTCACCTAACAAATTCAGGTAGGGAATTTTAAATCGCCTATTTAGATCATACTTAACTGTTTATGCTCAAATGTGGATTCAGTGGAAGAGCAGATGCAGGAAAATAACTTTTCGAAGACCTAATCATCTGGGGGTGGAAATTTTGAATCTAAGGAAATACCCATCTCTGTCATAGATGAAAAATTCTTACCTCAGCTCAGGTTCGAACATCTTACCTCTGGCTATGTGGCGTTGGGCTACTTAGCCGGAGGTTGGGTGTTCGAACCTGGGTTGAGGTGAATTTTTCATCTGTGGCAGAGATGGGAATTACCTTAGACCAGTTTCGAGCAATCTGCCGGCTACTCCGAATTAGGTTTTCCTGCAGTTTTCCTAATTCGTAAGGTAAATACCGGAGTAGTATAGAACAACTTAAGACCTTCTGCAGGGACATCTATAAAAAGCATTATGCGCGGCACTCTGTAATTGGACGCAAGCCTGCTGAGGGAGGGATAATAAATGAAATGCATTTTGACAAAGTCTGAAAGGGTATACCCGAAAACCTAGTCCAACTTATTAGTGTGTCTTTTATGGCTACTGAGGAAAATTCAACAAAGAAACTCAAATTTGTGCCTTTGGAGGAGTAATTTGCAAGTGAAAAATTTTGGGCACTTGATTTATTTGGAAAAGAAATTTTGTTTTCGTCCATTCCACCACTCAATTGTGTATCCTGCAGTAAAGATTGGTTTAATTTCGGTTTTTTTTTTATTATTGTAGCTACGAAGAAAGAAAAAATAAGATGAAGGAAGTTGAAAGTTTAAACCCAGTAGGGTTTATATCAATTTATAAATATTTTCATTATCCCAATCGAGTTAGAGCGAGGATCATGCAGTTGTTTGTGATCCCCCCCTGTCAAGGGATGGGTATCGGATCCCACCTATTAAGAAACGCTTATAGAGAAGTCGCAAGTCTTGATGACGTTGTTGACATTACAGGTAAATGTGTAAATGATTTAAAAAAATTCCAGCAATTGTCTTTGCAGTACTTGAACCAAATGTGACATTCACAAGAGTGAGGGATTTTTTAGACTGCCATCTTTTGATGGAATTCCCAGAGTTTGACAGTAACAATGTACATCAAGGATTTAGCGAGTCGATGTTCCAAGTTGCGAATCGGGAATACAAGTTAAACAGGCGACAAGTGAGACGGGCTTATGAAATTTTACGACTGTCATACATTGAATGTAATGTGTTGGATCCAAATTACACAATAATTTGGGGAGAAGTTGTGAACCGTTTAAAAAATCCTTTTGTGGTAATACTGAAAGTAGATTAGCTGTTGTAGTAACGAGTTGTATAAATTTATTCCTTAATCTTAGTTATCTACCGTGGTGTTACACCACTGGTTGTTGACAAGGTTAAAATAGAACATTTGTATCAACACTAATATTGTGTAACATCACAAATTCTTTCTCTTATATTTCAGAAAAGGGTTCGTATTTTGGAAAAGCATCTGCAAAAGCATCCAAATGATAACCAAAGTACTAAGGATTTGCAAAATTTAAATAGAATCTTGGAAGACAATGTTATTAAATATATGAACAGCATTCAAGTGGCTGCGACAGCTCTTAAAAGAAAACTGTTAGAACAGTGTTTAGACCTACCACACTGAATTATTTTTGTTAATTATTCGCAAACATGCAATGTTTAAAACTACGCCAAAGAAGAATTTTTGTTACTTTGTTCCTTTTTTCATATGTGTAAAATCTCAAAATAAATGTTCTATTCTTCAGAGATTTAAGCAAGCATTTTTTATCAACTTCACATGTCCCGATTCCTAACAATTTTAAAATTAGTGAATGAATGCGATTTTACTCGAATCTGGGGTCAGGAGAATTTTTTCTTGTTGCATTATGTGAGGATTCTGGATTATGATCGGAAGGAGACCGGGTCCACGTCTACCTAGGCTTCAAATTCGGGCCCTTTGTATTACCTGCCTGACTAGTCGTGAGCAGCCTCCTTACAGTGTTGCAGGTTTATTTGTATAAAATTCTCTTCCATATTTATGTACGTAGAGAGTATATAGTGTCTATTGTGGCGCTGCTAGAATCAGACTCTAGCAACGCCTCGACAGACGGCATATTATCATCTCTAGTAGCCTTAAATACCTCTTCATTAATTTTTTTGCTTTTACCTAATTGTTAATTTTGTAAGTTGAATAGTTTCAATTTTAATTTTAGCAGGAAAAAATGTTTAGTCCCAAATTGTTTTCCCATGGCAAATTGGCATGTACGCCACTGTCAAGCTGTTTAGCGGTTCGATCCGATGCTAGTCGAACACGGGCCGAGCACACACGAACTTTAAAATGCACCAATCAAATCGTGACTCAGAAAATGAGCCAATCATTTAATTATTTATGGATATTTAAAATCAAATCAGCAATTATTATTATTATATTTCAATTTAGGAGTGATTTAATTGCTCTTCTCTATCATCAAGACTTTCCGTTCAGTTTTAAAATTCAGTACCCAACGAGTGCGCATGCGCTTGAAAAAGTGCGAATTAAGCTTAAATTTTTTTACCGGCACTGCTTGGCCATGGCCACCCCTTAAGTCACAAACTAACAACCCTTGCATGCAAGACGCCATTTTGTTGTTGTGTAGGTGCATCGTCTTCGACATCATTTTTGCAGAATTCCTAACTTTATAAGTGATTTTGGTAAGTATCCATTCGCTGGGATCGCATTAATATTAAGTAAATGAAATTAACACTGTTAATCCTCTTCCAAGCTAGCGATGTCCATCGAAAAATTCTCGCCATACATTCGAGACTCCAAGTACCCATTCCTAGTAAGAAATCTGCCTGTAAGCACCCTTTTCATTTTTCTTTTGCCTACCCATTTCTTACCTACACTTGCATATATCGGTCATTTACAACTGTTTTATTCAATTTATATTGCAGGATAAATCGGAGTACACAAACTCCCATTCGTCTCAGCTGGAAGTTGAGCGTGTGTCCCATGACACAGAGAATTTTGTTGCATTCGCTATAGAAATCGGATTGCAGGATCCCCCTGAGGGATGGTACTTGGCACATTGCCTTGATGTAATTAACATTACTATTAGTAAGTAGATCAAACTCCCAGCATTACCCTACCTAAATGATCGTAAAATTGGGCCTAAAGGATTGATCACTATTAATTAATTAACTTTATTAAATTTTAGTGTACACCAGACATTGTCTCTTTCCTGAAAGACGCAAGCGAAGATTTAAGCCAGTATTTGTGCAAGAGATATTTGGCCCCAAGTAAGTTTTCAGGTTTACCTTCTACAATTGTAACGATTTCCACTTTTCAGACAAGAGATTTATGGGTATCACAACTTACATGTAGACATTTATTATCTTGCAAACTCTGCCAGATGTTTTGTGGATGTAAGATACACTGGTATCGCAAAACCTCCTTTACAACCTGCACCAGATGATATTGTAAAACAGTTATCTCCTTGGCTTCCTTGTGATTACAAAACTGATGAGTTTTCATTCTTGATAAAGCTTTGCACAGAAAGACGTACCCAAATGTTCGGTACAGAGGTGGAGAGAGTACAGATCTATAATCGTAAGTTATATTTTGAAGTTTAATATTTTGCTGAATTTGCAATTATAGCAACTGACAGTGCTTCTTATAATTACATTTTTACAAGCTGCCGAAATGACGATCCTCAATTTAAGGAATTTCACGCTCGCTTTCAGACTATGACAGTTTGGTTTTTTAAGAAACCTAGGCTAATTGATGTTGAGGATCCGAACTGGCTCTTCATTTATGTGTAAGTATCCGAAACCAGCAAGTGTGTGTCAATCATCATAAGTGAGTAAGTATATAGTAAGCACATAGATGCATGAACCTTATTATTTGTTTTGCGAGTTTGGCCAAAGCAAATGGACTAGAACTAACAACATTTCTTTAGATTTTCTGATAATGCAGAAAAAGTCAAGCAGTCTCATTAATTGTTAGTGTATGCTATTTTTCGAGGCATTGACATTATATAAAGGGTAGCTTATTTACCATACACAGCAGACATCTCACAATCCATTAGTACAATGTCGGTTAAGTGGTAAGGAATGTACCTAATATTGTTGGTACCTGCTTGCTTTTATATAAAATCATAAAGTTTGTCTAATTTACGTCGGAACTAATTGAGTGTATTGAACCAAACTAATCATCTATACAGACATACCGATACATCAGGCCCAAAGATGTCGATAGAGCAAAAGCTTCATCCTCGGACTTTGGGGCTATATATCTTAACCAATTAAAGAAAAATGTGGTTTCAGTGTCCGCATTGAGCAACACAATCACAGTCAACAACAAAACAGTGGTGGACCCGTTCATGACTTTTCAGAGAATTCTGATCAGCAAAAAAAGCGATGAGAATGACGCAGACCTCTTGAAGTAGGAGTTGCCTCTCTTTCTACTGCCCCTTTTTAAAGCAAGTTTTACTGTAATGGATGGAGGCTTTCTCCTTGGACAGTTGGAACCACCTTCTCTTCCATCACTGATCAACAGTATGTCCTTACATGATCCGTCACTATAATCACAATTCTGCTGTTGTATTTGATGGGTATGGAAATGTAAATTCAATAAAACGAGCTGAACATAAGCAGAGAGCAGCTTGTAAAACTTCAGTGGAAGAAACTGAAAACATGCTGCATACCATTCAGTAGGAGGACTTTCTTGCCAATGAGAAGAACAAGGCAAAGTTGATGGAGCTGCTGGTGAAGATCTTGACTGCAAGAGGAATAAAGGCAACCACGACTACAGGAGATTTAGATGGAAGAATAGTCAGGTGTGGAATTGACACGGCTACTTCTGAATCGTCTGTAGGTACTTGTGATTGGAGAGCAAGTTGACTTCGTTGTTTTGCTGATTGAACTTACTCCCAAACAAAACCATCTTTTTTATAAAGCATGAAAGACGAAAGAGTTGTTCTCTACCACACAACTACAGCAGCTCCCCTACAGTGAATTCATTTTCTTCATGCATGCCTTTTCAAGCTGCAATACTACCTAGCGCTATATATGGAAGTGTCATAAAGCTTCCATCCTTGAATGCTTGAAAGCCCAACGGAATCCGACGAATGTGCCTGTGACGAACCTTCACTTGCTGTTTGTGCTGCTAATGTATGGAGCCGCACAGATAGGTACATGTCCTATATCAAATGTTCAACCAAGGCGAGAGTCAATCTATCTTCTCTTCTACATACTAAAGGTGTGGCTTAGCAACACTCGCGCATGGTGTACTTCCAGATCCACTTGTCCTTGTGGCAGCTGCTGATATTATGATATTATGTTGTACCTACTCACCAGCACTGGTTCGGCAGCGTTGCTGATCCCCACTTAGAGAGGAACACCCATAACTAAGGCTTCTCCCCCTGGCGATTGACCTGGCTCTCTTCCCCAATGCTGAAAACCCCTTGACGCTGATCTTTTACGGCTGTGTGCAAAAGGCACCAGCTCCCTACTCTCTTGGTCTCTTCCAGGAATTCTGCTGTTTCAAGCGCTGCTTTATCACCTGCAGTCATCAGATTTTCCCATGACCCAAATGCCAACCTTGCAGAGCCTAAGAAGGTAGTCTTCCTGCTTTTTGTTGTCATGTTGTAATGCAACTGTAAGTCTGAACATGGCACTAATTTTAAAAGTGTTTGATTTGTAGATGAGTTCTTTGTCAAATTTGTAGATATCGAAGTTTGTGAATTGGCAATGTAGGCCAAAAAATAAGGAAAACCCTTTTGACGTCTCCATTATAGTTATGAACCGAATTGCATTAAATTCAATATGGGCCATAGCTTTAGCCATATAATACGCAATACCAAAAGTTGAGTCCAATTGACTCAGCATTCACAGTGTACTTTTCGCATGTCGACCATTTATGAACCAAATTGCAAACTTTTTTATGTATGAAGGTATTTAAATGAAATTTGATACATATAGGTAAGTACTTGGAATAAAAGTAAATATAACCAGTGGTTTTGCGCATGCACAGTGCCAACTTTGGCATTTTGTTTTTAAAATTCTTATTTTTTGAAGAATTCTTTTAAAACCCCTTTCTCGATTAATCTTCAATAACTATCTAAAGAAATGTTCCTGAAGTTGTGAAAGGAATGACGTTTATGGTTATTGCTTTGCATGGACTTATTTGCACACTACATTAGTAGAAACTATTACTATTACAACCCTAAGCTTTCTTTACCAACCCAACCAAATACATACTTAGAAAGTTTACATGTACTAAACCAGAAACTTGGCTTAGGCTTATCAGGCCGACTATTCTTCTAAGTACTGAATTTAATTTTTTTTTTTTCATTGTAGATATGAAGAAAGGACAGAAGAGAAGATGGAAGGCGTTTATCCTGTAGGATTCATTACAATTCACAAATTTTTATCTTTTCCTGATGGAATTAGAGCGCGGATCTCGCAATTGTTCGTTATGCCACCATGCCAGCGAATGGGTATCGGTACCCATCTACTACGAAATGCGTATAAGGAAGTCGCAGCTCTTGATAATATTGTTGAAATCGTTGGTAAATATACATTCACATTATTACCCAAATTTTTAACGTTGTTTTTGCAGGTCAAGAACCGAATGACGCATTCTCAGGTTTACGGGATATGCTGGATTGTGAATTACTCATGAAATTTCAACAATTTAATTGTGAAAATATACATCAGGGTTACAAAGTCGACATGTACAAGGTGGCCAACCATGCCTATAAATTAAACAAGCACCAAGTGAGACGTGTCTATGAAATATTAAGAATGGCGTACATCGAGTGTAACATGGTCGATGGAAACTACGAACTACTTCTAGATGAAATTTCAAACCGTTTAAAGACTCCTTTTAAGGTAATATCTAAAAGTGTACATATTACTTAAGTACTTATTATAAAGTACCTACATGCCTTTTACATTTCAGAAACGGATTCGCATTTTCACCAAAATCTTACAGAACTATCCAGATGACCACAAATTCCAGCAATATTTACAAAAATTATACGCAGTATTAGATGTTAAAATTATTACATATATGAATAGCATCCAAATGGCAGCAACATTATTCAGTGCAAAACTTTTAAAGCCAAGTTTTGAGTGATCGAGAAAAATGAAGTAGGTATTTTTGTTATGTTGTATTTAGGAAACGTACCTACTACGAAATTGTGTTACTGTGTTAAAAACGAAGTTTATCTATGTTATATTGTTTCATTGTTCAAATATTTAAAATAATCTATTTTTGTAAAAATAAATGTTCCTATTTCCATAGCTACTTTGTTCCTTCGATCTTTGTTACAGACTGCCACATGGGGTTTTGTACCAATATAAACATACTGAATAATTTTATTAACAAGTTAAAACATGGGAGTGCTGAAACTTTGAACTTTTAATAATGTATGCATGTTTTTATCCCAGAATGAATATAAGTCGTAGTATACGCAAGTGCATAGCACGCATTTTTATATCTATATCTGGTGTTTGATAGTAAAAGGCTTTGCTTAGTGTACAAACATGCTCCATGTAATGTCAGAGCAGACATCCATGGCCAGAGTGACTTCCAGGATAGGACCGTGTCAATGTTCCAATTTGTGATCATTGCATGGTTGTATTTTTTATAGATATATCGCAATAACCTTTCCTGTTCAACACATTTATAAATCCTGGTTTGTATTATAAGCCGATAATGTCGTTTCCTGTATTGTGTGGTAAAAAATGGAATCGTCGCATGCACAGTCTGACTATTGGCCGTTGTATATTAACGAGACAACTAGGTCTTGGCATTAGATCGAGAGTCTTGGTATGGAATTAAAATATAATTTATAATTTTTTTACACTTACTGACACTTATTAGGGTAACATTTCGAATTGCAATTGGAAGGTAAAGGGAATCCAATACCAAGCTCCTCAAGAACCTTGCGGCAAATACTAACAAAATGTTCTCTTGAAAAGCGAACACACTCTGCCATGGAAGACAAGAAACTGTTAAAATATGGATATAAACAGAGCTTGGCAGTATTCGATTCTGTAAATACTTTTTAGTATTCAAATACTTTAAAGTATTCAAATACTTTGTAATTAAATACTTTTATGGAAGCAGTATTTGTAACTCCAATACTTTCACAAATATTTAGTAATCGAATACTTCGCAAAGTATTTGGATACTTCGTAAAGTATTCGAATACTTCGCATAGTATTTGAATACTTAACCTTCCTTTTTCACCAAAAACCGACTACACCAAACTTTCTCGGGAAAACACTTTTTCTTATTAATTTTGGTGCGTAGAATCCAAAACAATTCGTACTTTTTCGATCAGACTTCTCATTCAAAAGTTATAGACTAGAAACCAATTTCGAAAGAAAATTCAAAGGGCTGTAACTTTTGAACTAGTAGCCCAATCTTGGAACTGTTTGAAATTATGGATTCTACAGGCCACGTTCTAAAAGAAAAATTTTTTTCCGGGTCGATCTGGGAAAAATTTTTTTGAGAGCCTCCAAAAAAGGCAGTGTATAACCTTCCTTTTTTCCAAAAATCGACTGCACCAATATTTCTCGGGAAAACACTTTTTCTTATTAATTTTGGTGCGTAGAATCCAAAACAATTCGTACTTGTTCGATCAGACTTCTCAATCAAAAGTTATGGACTAGAAACCAATTTCGAAAGAAAATTCAAAGAGCTGTAACTTTTGAACTAGTAACCCACTCTTGGAACTGTTTGAAATTATGGATTCTACAGGCCACGTTCTAAAAGAAAAATTTTTTCCCGGGACGATCTGAGACAATTTTTTTTGAGGGCCTCAAGAAAAGGCAGTGTATAACCTTCCTTTTTTACCAAAAATCGACTGCACCAAAATTTCAGGGGAAAACACTTTTTCTTATTAATTTTGGTGCGTAGAATCCAAAACAATTCGTACTTTTTCGATCAGACTTCTCAATCCAAAGTTATAGACTAGAAACCAAATTCGAAAAAAAATTCAAAGGGCTGTAACTTTTGAACTAGTAGCCCAATCTTGGAACTGTTTGAAATTATGGATTCTACAGGCCACATTCTATAAGAAAATTTTTTTTCCAGGTCGATCTGAGACAATTTTTTTTCGGGGCTCAAAAAAAGGCAGTGTAAAACCTTCCTTTTTTACCAAAAATCGACTGCACCAAAATTTCTCGGGAAAACACTTTTTCTTATTAATTTTGGTGCGTAGGATCCAAAACAATTCGTACTTTTTCGATCGGACTTCTCAATCAAAAGTTATGGACTAGAAACCAATTTCGAAAGAAAATTCAAAGGGCTGTAACTTTTGAACTAGTAGCCCAATCTTGGAATTGTTTGAAATTATGGATTCTATAGGCCACATTCTATAAGAACATTTTTTTTCCGGGTCGATCTGAGACAATTTTTCTTTCGGGCCTCAAGAAAAGGCAGTGTATAACCTTCCTTTTTTTACCAAAAATCGACTACACCAAAATTTCTCGGGAGAACACTTTTTCTTATTAATTTTGGTGCGTAGAATCCAAAATGATTCGTACGTTTTCGATTAGACCTTCTCAATCAAAAGTTATGGACAAAAAACCAAATTCGATAAAAAATGCAAAGGGCTGTAATTTTTAATCTAGTAGCCCGATCTTCAAACTGTTTGAAATTATGGATTCTACGGATCAAATTCTATAAGAAAATGTTTTTTCCTTGTCGATCTGAGACAATTTTTTTTGGGGGCCTCAAAAAAAGGCAGTGTACAACCAAAAATCGACTGCACCAAAATATCTCGGGAAAACACTTTTTCTTATTAATTTTGGTGCGTAGAATCCAAAACAATTCGTACTTTTTCGATCAGACTTTTCAATCAAAAGTTATAGACTAGAAGAGTGTTAGTTATTATTTCTATTTTAAAAAAAGGTTTAAAAATAACCTATATTCTCAGTAAATGGATACCAAGTTTGATAAGAAATGCTGCACTGAAAAAAATGCTTAATGATTTAAGTCAATCATCCAGTTTTTTAATTAATATTTTCAAAGGTCTATTTCTCAATAAAATCAAGTCAAGCCTCAATGCAGGTATGCTGTTGTTTTCCAGGTTTGATTGAGGTTTAAGGCATATATTAAACCAAAGGTGGACCTCTGTCCCTCTGGGGATGCACCCGCCTTTTTTTAAACTGAGGTTTAATCAGAGTACTATGGGTACTCTTTGATTAAAGCTCAATTTAAAAAACGGCGGGTGCATCCCCAGAGGGACAGAGATCCACTATTACCTAGTATCTACTTATAAAGCTTAGAAAGAAACCGTCGACTAGAAAACTATGGAGCATGGGTATACTTGAATAAAATAAAGGACCTGGTGAACTGTATACATATGTTCACTCATCGCAGTTTACTTAAGGGTAGAGAACCTGTAGTGAAGCCCTCTGTCCCTTTTACCAGTAGACTGGCCTGAGCGTCTTCCCCAATGCTGAAAGTGATCAGTTGCTCTTTTTCAGCTGTGTAAAAGGTACACAAGTTGCCAATTTTTAGGTAGGAGTTTTGAACCTCCACCGGTTACCCTGGGCTGTCCACTTTGGTGGTTGAAAAAATTGTTCGCCGTAAACTATTTAAAGCGTATATATTTTGCGATCAACTACGAAACTTTCTGGGTTAGCAGCTGACCGTTCGTGAATGTGCCCTTTTTCAAAAAGCCCGAGCGCCTGTATCTAGGCAACCCTCAAGCACGCGTGTATGCTTGCGCATGGTTTATCTGGATGTAAACGTTCCACGTTTATTAGATCAATTATAATTTATAAACAATGCTGTAGATGAGCAGAATTCAAAAATCACACGCCTGATGTTATATATATATAATAAAATGTCACAAATAAGAATACTCCACGTTTAATTTGTTTATACTGGGTGACATGACATGAATGATGAAAATGTAGGTTGTCATATAATTTCCTATTTATTTATGTGAATTAAATTTTAGATTGAAATGGAAACAAGAAATATGAACGATAAATGTGATACCAACTCGCATACAGAAGGTGTATCGAGTGTGTTGCGTGACAATATTTACGGATGTGATTTAATGCTGTGCCTGTTCTTAACGGCACTTCAATCATATCGAGTTGATACCTGCTTGAGACCATTTCCGTCCAGGTACATTCATGATTCGCACAAAGATGTGGATTCTTTGGTAATTCTTATGTCGTTTAAATGTTAGAACTCATTCTTCGTTTTCAGAGAAACCTATGTGATAAAATACCTTCTTTAGAAACGATTTCAAAATATCCACGGATGTGTTCAGTAGAAATTTTGGAGCTCTTAAAATGGTTGCTGTGCCAAAAAGATCACCTAAGTCTGCGTAAAGTTAATTTTGTGAGAGATGCGGTATACATCGATGACAATTTGTAAATGCTTAATTTTAGAACAAGGTAAAGGTTCCTACGACTATAAAGAAATGTTATCAACCCTATTATACTTACGAAGTGATATATCCATCGAAAACTGAAGAGGCTTGGCAAAAAAGGAGGAACGATCGAAATTCGTTCTTAGCCTACCATGGTAGTCAATTAGATAATTTTTATTCGATACTAAAAGTTGGACTGCAACATAATCTCAGTGGAGATAAGGTAAAGCAACCGAAACTACAAGCCAGTGAAGAGAGAATAGCTCTGGTTCGAAGTGAGTCACTTCTAATGGCGTTTCCAGAGCTAATTTCTGATCACTGAAAAGAGAGGTAAATTGTTTTATTTTTGATGGAAAGGTGGTATAATGTTGTACCAACGTTTGATGTAGAGCCATACTAAACTGAAGCTTACGATTATTTTATTTTGTGACTATAAAGTCTGATTTCGGAGCTGAAACCACACTGACTTTAAGTGTACAAGTTGAGGCACTTGAGGAGTGTGGTACAGTCTGTGGTGGGAGTAGGCAGGTAGAGAGTGTCTCGTTCTGTCCTGGCATTCCCCCCCCCCCCTTACGGTTTCCATCATCATGGTTTTGTTGTGCAGGTTGGTGATCGCTTAACCATAGACATTCCAGAATATTTCTGAAAAGAGCTTTTTTTTTATTAGAATGTTCACCCATTCATTAGAACTGTCGAGGAGCTGTCCAGAATTCTAGTAAAAATCTCCTATGCTGTACAAGGAAATCTGTTTTGTCTTCCTTACCAGCGAAAGTAAAAATCATTCTTTTCAATGGTCGCCAGCCAAAACCTTCAATACTTCAACATTTTTTGAAGGGCTTACCGGGAACCCCAATCCAAACTAAAAAATTCTACTAGAAATGATCAAGAATAACTATTCCTTTGGCGCTTACAATACAAAAAAGCTTAATTCTATTTAGTGTAAGGTTGGCCCTAAAACTCCATTAGGGACAGTTTTATATCTGATATGGGGATGTTCAGAACTCCAGGCAGAATAGCACTTTGCAAGAACACTCCCTAGTCTACATCCCCAGTACATTACGAATCAATTTCTTTCTCCCCAAAAATGTTTAGGACAATCAGCATATTTATGGTTATTTCTTTGAAAGTGCCATCACATTATCCTTTTTTGTGGGGCATAATAAATAATCCACTGCTCGAGCATTTTACAACACTACAGACATTTGATGTTTACAATATGCAATATACTTGTCTTTACTAGAAGCATTTGTGGGAAAATTTTCAAAAAAAATAAGTCCATAAATAAATTGCGCGCATATTAATTGTTAATGGTTTTTTTGGCTCAGCCAAAGCTATAAGCTAACTAATGGAAAAAGAACGAACTAAGTACCTTGAAACTCATGGGGTTCTACCTAGAGCAAGCACATAGCATATATACCAAGTAGTTCTAGAGAGGAAAGTTCATCGATAGCTTTTAAGAGAACATCTGATTATGATACATACGCGCCCAAAATAGTGCCCTTCTATATTTTCGGAAACGCGCTAAAAAACGTTTTGAAATACCAAGTGTCAATTCGAGATTGTGGTACAATTTTTTGAAACTGTCTTAATGAAGACATGGGGTAAATTTGGTAGTAAAAAGCAGAGATTTTATTGTACCAAAGGAACATTTGCGTCCATTTTTTGATATTTCAGGATAGCAGGCACTATGAATCTTGAATCAGCAAGACTCAACTTTTGGCATTGTGTATCATATCTCATGGATTTCAGTAGAGCATGTGATATAATTAACCATCAAACTGCAATTTCTATCTTACATGCTATAGGTCGTAATGCTACCTCATTACTTCAAAGCTACCTACAAGAGAGATTTTTGATATTTTTAAAGTATACTCATCTGTTCCAGATTGGATCAAGTCTCTATCTCCGTAGTATTTCAAAATTAAATGGCGTCAAATATTAGCGTGATCTTGTTTAACATGTCCCTTTGTCGACTTCACGTTGTATATTACTCAGTCTCTTTTTATTTCATTTCTCCATAGAGTTACTTATATGTGCATTTATTACTACCTGAACGAATGGAAGGTCTGTATTTTTCGTGAAAGATACCCCTTTCTGGATCGTTTAGAGGGCTTATAGCACTTTCCAGAATTAGGTAAATAAAACGTGAATCTAGAAATGTCCGGAAATGGCATTGAAAGCTCTGAATTCAGACTGAACACCAAATTCGATCACGTAAGTCGTAAGTACCGAAATAAATCTATCTTAGTTTTCGTAAGCTATAAGAAAGTGCATTGAACAATTGCATGTGATAAAACGCACCGAAATACTCCTTCAAAGTATACTTGAATACTTGTAGTGTGTCTCATTCTTTTGCTTTTGTTAAAAGTGAGACCATTGTCATAATGAGATCAAAGTTAAGCATAACCTTAGCATTTGAGACTGGGTTATTGTCAGTACAGGATTTCCCCACAAAGGTTCTATAAAGATCTCTTTCTTTGAATTTATGGCGGGTATCGATTAATTTTCGTTTTGAATTGAACTTTGAATGAACGCAAAACTTTGAGGCAAACTAATTCCTGGGTGTATTTAATTAGGTTAATTGGGTTTTTCCTAGGCGTTGCTGTTTGGCAAAGGAATATACGTAACTAGTGAAATAACTATCAGCATGTCTTACGCTCCTTTTGGCCTGTCCTGGAAAAATAGCATGTTGGGTAACAAAATTAGTATTATTGCAGTTTGCGAAGTCATTAACAACCCCGAAAAGGTGAAATGTAAAGGTAATAACATAAACTTCCTGCTTGTTGTTGATGCAGTTTACTATTTCAGCAGAGAAATATACACAGCGAACAATCCATGGTGATATCCCAGACAAATACTTTGTAGTAACTGATAGTGATATGATAAGATTGAAATACTTATTTGTGTATAAAGAAAGTACAGTTGCTGTAATTGAATCCTGGCTAGTAAGGAACCTAATGCTTGTCCTTATTTGTTTGTATGTCTTCATTCTGTTTTGTATCGGATTTTTCCAGGGGCCGACATGGCGAAAAGTACAAAGATATTTGTATAACGAACTGCTTTCAGATGTGTTAACCTGAGCCTGCAATTTTCTATTTCAACTGCCACCAAACTTTTTATTAATAGCTTTATTGGATGTGACTATCATTTTTTGTACATCAAGTCATTATCAAAGATGTTCGCAAGGCCAATTGCACCACTTACACTTAAAAAGTCGTGTAACCAATCAATGTCATCTAAAACTAAAACTGTGATGAAAGATTTGGTTGTTTATAAATCATTGAAATAAAATCACATAGTTTCCTATTTGTACAAGATGTTAAATATTAAGTTTTGTATAACAATAATGTAAATATATTTCTTTGTACTTAACTTGTTTTTAGCTTCCTAACTCGAGCTAAGTCGCTGTTTGCGGTCACCATTTTTTTTCATCAAATGTTGACGTTTTAGATCATTTTTTTCCATCTATATGTATGTAGTCCGTACATACCTATGAGTAAAAAATAACAGGAGAGAACCTTGCATTAAAAGGGCACGAGATAGAAATGGATGAAAAGGAAGTTGTAGGAGTGGAGGGAATCGCGTCTTCATTGGGAGTGGTGTAATAAAACAAAACTGACATCGTCTCTTCTGTTTTATGATAGGTCAAATCGACATAACTGACCAGTGCAAAGGAAGTAATATGATGGCAACTTCTGTCGCATGCTATGCTATTTCCCACCACCGTTATATTCTCTTCTCTTATTTTTTACTCGGAAACGAAAAATAACGGGCCGGACTTAGTGTTTAATAATAAAGCGGCGCTAATAGGACTTTTGGTAGTGTACATTAGGCATAAAGGATGGGAGACTTTTAAAAACGCTTTTTTTAAATATTTGTTTCGAGCTAGGAAGCAGTATTGTGACCCATATTACATAAAACGGTCATTTTGATCTAAAGGAAATGTTCTATAGGTCAGAGAACTTGGTAATAATATCCTATTCCTAAGTACCAACCATCCCATTTCAGATTTCATTGTACTTTTCAGCCACTGTCCAAACCCCAAATCATCTATTTGACTGCCCAAATAATCTTATCATCTATTCCAGAAATTTCCCTTTTTACCAGTAGTTTTCAGTGAAAACCGGATAATCCAATCATACTTCCAACTGATCCGGGCCATTTATACTGGAGATATGGACGTTTGAAATTTTGTTGCTAAACCATACATACCTACTTGTATGTCTATGGGTTTTTTGACAAAATCGACCTTGTTTTCTAAAGAAAGTAAACAACAGTGTGTATTGAGATACGATGATTTATAACTACACAGCTACGTATTTGTGAAATGAAGTTCACCTAAAACTTTAATTTCCATCAAATTTTGCTGCATTTTGTCAGTAACATTAATTTGGAATGTTGTCGGGTACAATAAATTATACGAGGTGAGAAGGTTAGTCTCCATATACAGCTCTTGGCCCGGATTTATAGTGTGGTTGAGATTATTTGCAAAATTTGCTTTCGTGTTCGGTCTTGCCGTGACCTTGACTGCGAAACCACGCGTCTTTTTGCTTTCGTTGACGACCGTCTACGGAGAGTGCTTAATGTAGACTTTTTGTACCTCATTTAGTACCCTTTGTAGGAATTTATGATGGAATTTACTTCCTGGTACATGTAGGATATAAAAATGCTTCATATTCCATACAAATCCACTAATCCGGCATAGACGAAAATATTTGAGTGCCGGGTTACCGAGCGCGCCTACTATATAGATAATTATGGTTTACTGTAAAAACAAATGGATTTATTTATTTTATTCATTAGTATAAAATTAAATCTGCTACCACTGTGATCCAATGAATCACAAAATGCTAATAAAATGAAACAGAGGAAAGCTTACAGAAATTGCCAAATTTGCAATAAATGGAAAGGAGATTGTTAATTGTTATTGTCAGCGTAGTAAACGGTGCGGGTATAATATAACTTGATTCCAAAAGCACCTAAATCTGAATATATGGGGTTACAAGTGCTTTACCCAAATAGACATTATCTGTCTATTAAAACAAAGTCCAATGGTATGTGACTTACTGATACTATCGGCTTTTTCTTACTGCGCGTGCGCGTCAGTATACAGTCTTTGTATAGCTCGCTTACAAGATTCAAAATGTATGCTATTTATTTATGGGGTTACTCGCTACTGCCATACCTTCTCAACAATTGATTAAAGGTATTGATCGCTTGTCATTATCACTAGGCCTTTGGTCTGCCTACTTTATGATAAAACATTGAATCAAAACCTCCAATTCACCTAATACAGTAGCTTTCCTCAACTCATTCTTCAGGTTCTTCGTTTGTATTGGTCTCTTCGGACCACTCTACTTCTTACGCGTACCTTCTCAATATTCTTCGATTAACTGAACTTTGCTTTCTGCAGATGATCACATAAACATTCTCTGCACATTGGCCTCGATTGATTTCCTATACCATCAATTTTCGGAGTCTCAAACAATTGTTTTTTTTCTACTCCTTCCGCCGGAGTTTTGTCATTTTCAATTTCTACTGAATTTTACCTGAATTCTTGTAGAGAACGATTTTTTTAAGGTTTTAAGGCAAAGTTTGTTTCGTTTGCTGGCTTATACCATTAGATCAACTAATAGTAACGAGTTCATGCCTCATTGCTTTATGATTCAATTTTAGGTAAGTGGTTGACTTGTATTTTCATATATAGGAAATGTATTAATCATCTGCCAGCTTTCTGCTTTCCGACACAAATATAAATAAAAAGGAGTCTACATTTTGCATGTCTTTAATATCCTGTACAAATTTACAGAAATTACTCTACAATTTAACTTTAAAGTGGAAAGATAATTAATTTGTAAAAATTAAACAAGAATAAATAAGTAGTTACAACAAAGTATAAAATAAATAAATAGCACAGATAGATATATGGCTGTCTAGTAATTGACACGACAATCAAAATAATACTACGAACGATCTGCATCAAGAGCACAACAATAGTAATTAACGAACAAATAGCATTTGATAATTGTGATGCAGAACTGAAATTATAACAGTCTATGTATGCTAATTTGACATTTTGGAATTACATACCGATTTCAATAATTTGTAGATAAAATATATGGATTCTTCTTTAAGAGTTAGTTTTAAAATATCCAATTTTATAATAAAAGTGATCTTATGCTAAATTCGCTCACATGATAGTCTTATGTACAGTCGTAAAAACATCACAATTGGGAGGTTCGGTTTATATCATTTTACCATGTCGTACATTTAATTAACAGTACTAAATATCTTCATTCTAACATCATACTATTAAACTATATGCATGTATAACAATAACGTACAATTAGACTTTCTAATACTGGTGTCACAACAGATCTAAACAACAATTTTCTGTCAGATTGATATGCCTATATATGGTTGTATGGAGTACACTTGCCAATGACCCTACTGCCGACAATGCAAAAGACGTAGTGTGTGAAGCACACAAACTAGAGCCACACTCCAAATATTTATTACGCTACTCAAAGATGTTGTAGTGGATACATTCATAACTAGTTTGCTTAATCACACACAAAGGAAGACATAAGATACTTAAACATTTATAACTCAGTAGTCAGATCACAATTACATTCGTATGGAGTCTTTTCGATTGTCAACATTTTCAGCACATGTAAAAAAAATGCTAAATGTACAGAATAAATCACATTTACTGTTAGCTTCCAGTCAAAGTAACTAATTTTGTATTTGAAAGGAGCCACTTTTGCATAAGATCACTTTTACGCCTACTAAACATCGTAATTGATATGGTGTTCCTTAGGTACAATATGCGATAGTTACATTATAAATGCATAATAAAGTAACTTGGTAGCATATCAAGGCAAATATTCGAAATGAACCACGATAATTTTATGAGGTTATTTCCAATATCTACATTTTGATTTTACAAATCTATTGATTGAAATTCATCACAAAGAGAAAGGAGTCTGAAATCCCTGCAAATTAATTTTAATTTTCGAGTTGTGTAGAAATTAGAGATCATTTAAAGTCTTCCTAGTACAGGGATATTTGTGTAGTTAACTGGCTTATGTAAATTCAACGCAGAGTCCTAGACAAGGGACAAAGAAATGAATTTATGTATTATAGATATGTCTTTTTATGTAACATTAATTGACATAAACATTTAACAATGCCACGCTTGCATTTCATTTCATTTTTTCAAGTCTGCAATGCCACATTTTGTTTTGCTCCAAAGCTCATCTGCATTCAATGACTGTAGATGTGGGAAACCACATATTATACCAACCTGCTGAACCAAGTACGGGAACTCTTTGGTTGGTCGTGTTTACAAAACAGATTAAGTAACCTAAATGCTACTTTCAGCCACATAAGTATCCTAAAGAATAACCACATAAAATTGCAGTATTGCGCCCAATCACAACCATATTTATAAATTTGCACATTCAATATGCTACCATTTCAGATTCAAATAAGACTAGAAATTTAAGTAAATAGTACCACAAAAATAAATCTTTTTCTATTTGTTTTTAAGTCTATTAGATGGAATGTATATTTTACGTTGACTAATGACATACATAGTTTGGTCTTTTATAGAGTTGATGCTTGCTGATCTGGAATATTATTGAGATGATTATCTGTATCCCAGTAGAAATATGGTGGTCCTTGTGTAAAGCAGTACTTCATGTCTAATGGTGTTCCCTCTTTAACGTAGTACATTAGATAAAAATTGCACATTTCGTCCAAATTCGTGGCACTAAAATCATGATAATTGTAAATAGCTCTGTGACCTACCCATAACAAAATTATTCACGCAAAAGCAAATGCCCATGTTTTAACTCACCCCACGTGTGTATAGGTATTACGATTGCTCTTCATTGTACATCTGGCGGCCTAAATATATACAATAAATTAAAAAACAAAATGATACTAAGACTCCAACTTACTAGTATATCTCCAGGATGTATGGGGTCCGTATTAAACACTGGGTAGAACATTTGTGGTGTCAGTGGATTTCGTTTTCCGAGTAAGGTCCAATGGTCTTTTTTATCATCACCCTCGTGAATAGCATATCCAGCAACCACCTTCCCTAGAATGCAACAGAATGTGCAACAATTCTTGACATTTATATGAATACAAATTACCTAAGCCGTGCGTGTGAGTTCTGTAGGCAAAAGGATATATCGTCTTATTTTCAAATAGGCGACAGTCTGTTTCCATATGTGTGACCGAGTTAGGGGGAATCGCTCCACCGGTACCCAATAGTAAAACACCTGCTAATTTCTTCCTCCTAGAAGTGAGCCCAATAATTTAGTTGTGTGTAATTTAAATCGACTTACGGTTCCTCCGTATATATCAAAAATATTCCCGAATTGTCCGTGCTGCCATCTATGAACAATGTGATGATAAAGTGTCTTTTAACGATATCGCATACCTTTAAACTTTCCCGTATGTGCGTAATGCACTTGCAATACCAGGTACTGAATAGGCGTGCCTTCACCAATTTGAAATCCTACACCTTCTGGCACTTCAAATTTTTTGGCATCTCTAGCCCAAGCGTACAATACCTAAAATGTAAACTTCGTGAGGCGCTCGAAATATTTTCAAAATCACGAAATAATCAAATGTTTGCATAGGCTAACTATAACGCCCAAAAACTCATTTTCCCTCATAGGAAATTTGTCCTACAAAAACTGAACTACTCGAATATGTCAATTCTGGTACCATCAAGCATCCATTTCATTGCATTTGGTTTATGTGTCAAACTTTTCCAAATAAAAAACCCCCATCGAACATAGTTCAGCCATTGGGAATTGTAGATCTACTTGAGTGTATGCCACATTTGACATTTATTAGCGCAATTTCCAAGTCATGTTGGAAGGCGCTATTATGGCCACTTTCTCCGTCCGTCCGTCCGAGGCCTTCACTACTCCTATTTAGTTTGTTCTTTTTGCATTCGGTAGCTTATAGATTTGGCACCTCAACCAAGAAAAATCTTAAAGAATAATTTGCACATACACAAACTGCTTTTTTGTTTATAGATATTTTTTTGAAATTTTAATCACAGATACTTCTAGTAGTAAAGACAAGCATATCGCATATTTTAAACATCACGTCTCGCATCTTGAGCGCTAAAACCTTTTTTCATTTTTAATTGTTTAATTGCTATAGTGAATACAAAGATACAAAAAATACATTAAGTGCATTCAGTGTAACTTATATTACAAATCTTCAAAAATGTTGAAATTTTAACACCCTGTAGATCGATAACGAAGCGTTTGACTTATATTTATAGCAACTTTGTCATAAAATGAGCCCGTTTCGTATTTACATCATATTTAGTGTGTGTAGATTCTAACGTTACGGCCGAAGACATGCAAATTGTGGCAAATAAATTTCTTTTTTAAGGTCCTACTTGTTGAGTAATGAACCTTTCCATTTACGAAAGATATCAGAAAATAAAAATATACAAAGAATTGCACAAACAAGAGAGATTAGCTTTAGATAATGTATGGCCTTTGAATGGAACTAAAAAAATAGCTGGAAATCCCTCAGTCCTTAGAAATCCACTGTAATCATTGGAAAATCTATTGAAATTATCCGCAATCCATCAAAATGTTTTATTTTCCCAATTCTTGTCACAATTTTCCTAAAGATACTCGAGAAATTGTCACTACAGCTCCATAAAAGTCAATATAGCAGATTTGGGCATGTAACTAAAATTGATTTTGTGCACATATGGAAGATGATTTTCACATACTTGAATGTGCAGAGACTGCTGACCGTTGACATTACACAAAATGCATTAAGCTTTACTTACATGAGAACCAGATGCACAAGGGCTTGCCTTAGGTATGTCTTTATCAACTTGAGAATCTGCCATTTCTCCGCAGTTCCTAAGCAGAACTACACTGTACCAAATTTTACAGAAGTACAACTACATACCAATACGGCTGATTACTTCCAGGCGTTGTGCATCCGTAAAGTAAAATATGATGTGCCGTTTCCATAGTTGCATTTGGCTCAAAACCCACTGCAACAATTTTACAATTATAGTAACGACCACTAGTCCTAAGTGAAACCTGGCAACAAAATATGTGGCAGCGTAAACGTGCTTGATTTATGACAATGCATTGCGACAGATTTTAATCTTACAAGACTCAGCATATGGAAACCCCTACATTTGCAAAACAACCCCAATAATAAAGCGATGCAGTCTACGATTTAGAAGCTTCGTTTCAATGACACCAATTATTGTAATGAGCTAATCGAAGTGAGCGGAAATTTAATATTTAAAGCAATCTTTAGTGTGCGAATTACAGCAGAAGCAACACAATACATTGCTATACTCACCGATATAAAAACTTTTCTTAGGAACCACTTTTATCGGGGTGCAAAGGTACAATTCATCCTAAAGGAATTTGTTTATTAAATTCAAACAATATTACATAAAAAACATAAACAAATAAAGTGGGGAAAAGGTAAATAAAAGCTTAACCTTACATGATTGGGATGAACATTAGGCATAAGAAGAGGATACTTTTTCACTTGTACGCATATTATTATCGGAACAAAAATCACAGCAATTATTATTATTCGCCGCATATGGACAGTATCCATTTTTTGAAAACAATCGATTTTCGTTCCAGTCTTCCAGTGGGCATTCAAAAGCACATAGCAGAGGCGCGATCGCGCTACTACAAAATGTAAAGAGCCGCAAGCAGTGGTGTCGATCAGGTTTTTCCCACTATTTCACATGCGTCATGGCCATGCGTATCTTATGGCGGTAACAAAACATTTAAACAATAATTTTTGTAGTTATCTTAACGGCAATAAAAAAGCAAATATTTGGTAATTCCTTGCATAATATCATGCAAAAGTCTGTGATTCTTATTTTCAGTTTCTGTTATCAGGAAACCGCAAAAATCCCGATGATAAGATTGCTTATAGTAGAAATCAATAAAAATGCCACTGGCGTACGTAACAATTAATTAGCGACACTTTATCGAGTCTTTACTGAAAATAAAAATAGATACTGAACTCACTGCTCAGTTATTTATCTGAGAGAGCTCTTATAGGTAACACTGTTATGTTACAATGTTACAACTATGATATGTAACAGAGAGATTAAGATGTTACATAGCAAAGGAAACATATGTGACACATAACTTAGGACTACATATACGTTTGTGATTTTGGACGGCTATATTCTTACTCGCGCCTTATATTTGAAACTGGTTACTCGCAGGTGAGAAAGCCGCTCACTACTACCAAAGAGTATATCTCTTTGCTACTACGTATCGATAGTAATACGTTGATAAAGAGATGAATATTTCTAAAAATTAATTTATTGGGCTCACACTTACAAACAATGTAACAATTTAATCTTTTTCTCAATAATTAAAAAAAATGGCAGTGAAGTCATGACTTCAGTCTTGAACAAAATTATACAAAGAGAGAAGCAAATACAGAACAAAGATGAAAAAAGGAAAGAGAGAGAGAGAGAGATATAGAGGAGAAGGGGTTGAGAAGGCAGAAAAAAGTACAATAGAAAATAAATTAAAAAAGTAATCGTAAACGATTTACAAAATCCACATAAACAATTATGGGCTTTCAGTTTATTTTTATAAAGAAACACAAATCAGCTCACAAGAAAACAATTGATTTTGTGCACGCAGAATAATGTTTGGATATGTGAGTTCAATTTACTAGTGTCAATAAGGCTCCTTCTGTTAAAATTTGGATTTTATAAGACGCACCTTCAATTCAAATTTCAAAAAAAGAGGTTCACAAATAACGTCTGGGAAATTATAGGGGAATCACGATAATGACGACCCACCCACTCAAAAATAAAATATGTAAGTACTATTATAGGTACTACACAGACTCTTTGAAAAAAGGCGTTTTTCATCGATTTAAAGGCAGCGTCTAAATGAGTAAAAAGGGAAAAAGGATTACCAATAGGTAATCATATAAAGGACTGAATCAAGGGGCTATATATGGAGAGATAAGGAGTAGGGTAAGGATAGGAGGAAAGGAGTTGTGGACAATAAAAGGACTGAGACAGCTAGGGAAGATGTCCACAGCCCAACCTCATTTAACATTTTACATAAGAGATATGGAGAAAACATTAAGACAGGTACGTGGAGGAATCGTACTGGGAATAAGGAAGATAAATGGTCTGTGGCAGACGCTGACGGCACAGCGAAGTGAAATGGCGCAAGTACTGTAATTGCTCCCATAAAAGGAAAATGAACGCTATTGTCCGCACTTTGTCCGTCTCTACCACTACTAGTCCTCCAGATTAAGCTTTTTCGTTGTGGTTTCTTTCTTATACGGTGTAGCACAGCTCCCAGGCCAGAACAGTAAAAGATTTTTTTGATTAGTCACTTCCTTCCCGAATATTATTACTAATTCTTTGCGGGGAAAATTCGTTTTCGTCGGTCGCGAGTAACCACGTTTTAAACTTGCTTTTATCGTTTAAAATAAATGAATGAAATTTGGATACATTATGCAGCGGGGTGGTAATCACGGAATACGAAGAGTGCCAACCGAGGCCCCCGCGTCTTTGGCGCCCAGAGCATGTTCCCTGGCGGAGGAAAAACAGATAAAAGAAAAGATGGGAAGGCTGGAAAGAAAACTAATGTAATTAAATGTTGAAAAATCGATGATAAGGGGGACGAAGAATAAAGAAGGTTCAATGGAAGTGGAGGGAGGACAGAGTAGAGGAAGTAAGAGAATTTAAAGGATACCAGATGCAACGAAATAATGGGGCCAAATCACAAATAGGGGAATTAAGAAAAAATGGAGAAGTAGCGATAAGATGTGGGGAATAGTCAGATCGTATGCAGATAGTAAAAGATTCGAGAAAAGTAAAGAAAGAGAATTGGTTAAAGAATGTTTGCTAACGAGCATGAACACAAAAGGAAAATGGTGGGAACAAGAAAAATATGAAAGAAACGGATACGGATGGACAGATGTTGAAAGGAGAGTAATAGTGGAACGGATGGAAGAAGAGCTTATAAAAAGGGATCAATACATATACCAATGCAGCCACAGAAAGAGAAAATCGAGAATTCACGAGTTAACGGAAAGTGCATGGAGCCAATAACGGAGTGCAGAAATATCTAATAAGAAGGAAAAACATCAAACTAATAGCAAGGTTCAGATCCGGAAACGAGGAGAAAAGAAGAAGAAAGGATATGCAGACTATGTGGAGAAAACGAGAGTATGGGAATGTCAATGAAGGAATCTATCTGTCAATCATTGAAACCGTCAGCCACAGTTTCTGGGAGGGGGTAAATCCAGTTCTGGTTGCACCACATATCTAAACCTGTGGCTGAAGTGGATCGGTGCCTTGGCACTTGCGAATAATATTCCCCTGCCCTGTACGAGGATAATTTGGGAAATTTTAAGTAATACTGTGCAAGGTTCGCGAATGTAATGTGGGTTGCCTGACTGTAGGGAGGTGTAACCCATATGTGTAACCGCATTTTTGGTGGTACACACAATAATGCGTACAAAGTCCATGGCCTCAGGCCTAGCCTGTTACTTATCCTGTATTAACATCCTTGGTGCATTCTAATTATGGGGATAGTTATATTGTAATGTGATTGAGGTTTACATAGCGGCGAAATTAATGATCGCCATATTATCCTTGGTGTGTAAGATAATAGGTCACGGCCCATTAAGTTTGAAATTTTCGTGGCCGAAACGAGACATTTTTTGCAATTTTGTGGCGCTTATAATGACGATATGGATTGGACCACGATCAAGGTCTCGACTGAGCCCGCGGCCAGTTAGTGTGATGTCATAATGACATCATCGGGAAGTGTTGCGGCCCTAGTCGGACGCGGACCCGTTGCGAGCGGCTCAAAACTACTTTTCTAGTGTATCATCCTGTCTGTCGCTAATTCAAACTACCGCCATTGCCATCGTCATAATGCTTCTCCGTGCCGATCATAAGTTGGTCTCCTCAAATCAATAGAAGCTGACGTCAAGTGGGTGCCGAGGGCGCTATCAACGCTGCGGAGGGGGGCCGTGCACTTGTAACTTGGCTAGTAGTGTTATGTATCCGCGCAAGTAGGTTTGCGAACTGTTGGTGTTTCGTGATCAACCGATCTGTGCAGCGTTACATTCGACGTAAGTTTCGTATTCTACAGCCTGTATTGTGCCAGAATTGAAAATGCATTGAACAACCACACGGCCTGGCAACATTAGGAAGATTTTGAGTAACGTGCCAATTGGCCTTCACCGGCATATTATTGTTGACATTGAAGGTCTCTACGCAAAGACTGCAAAAGGCCAGTAGAGGTCAACTAATAAAATATTTAATGTTGTCAGAATGTTTCCTAGCTTTATGTTGCATTCGCTAACGCATTGTCAACCTTATTTTGCTTATTAATCTCGCACTACTACGCTAATGTTGCTGCTGCGAATGTCGCCACCGCTTACTTATTCTCTAATCTCTCTCTCTTTCTATACTTTTTTGCTAATCTGTTTTCAACTTTCCATACATACACATACTCGATTCTCATCTTAAATTTCCACGGATCGTGCGCAGTAAATAAAGCAGGAATGTTTACACTTCCCAATTTTCTATGTTTAAAAGATGAATAAAGCCGTTACAACTGCATGTTGCTTTTAAGTTCAAATTTATCCTTGACTCGCCTATACGCATACAACGCAGAAAAACGAACTCGCTAATTAAACCCAGTTGCTCGTTACAGAATAATTATCTATGCAAAACGGTCGTGAAAATGTAGCGCCTTATCCTGTACACAGTAGCAGAACTGGTTGTATGAGTTCCCGCCGGCATCAAGTTTCTAAAAAAACAAATAACCGAAACATGGGAAAGCGGCCCATAATGCCCGCAATTACGAAGATGGTGTTATCTTATGACATCTTTGAGTTGAGAATCAAAATACGATCGCGAGATGGTGCCATTTGTGGTTCGTAACCGAGATCCTGTTGTATATTGGGTTGCATATATCAACAATTTTGTATTTGGCGCCTGACGATCCCACGTTCACCTTTCACCTTCTAAAGAGACCGTTTGTTATTACATAATTGTTGACCTCATCACTACCACGCGGCCGCTCGCATTTAAACAACTTCTTTTTGCACGTTTATTTACTAATAAAACGCACGCTTCGCCTCGAAAAAAAATAACTCATTTTATCTATTGCATTACAGGTTGAACGCGTTGGATAATGGACGAAATTACTTTTAGAGCGGGTAAGTGTTTTTATTTTCGTATTACAAATAGACATCAATAAAAAGTTAACTGAACAGAAATAACTTTTTAATCTATTTATACGAACCGAGTCGTCGATTTCCCTCCTCTCATTAAACTTCTGTTTTAATTATCTCTCTTATAGTAAATAAGTAAAATCTATTTGCCAAGATAAGATTACCTGTTACACGAAATACGTCAAGGGTCAAGATTGTGAACATCCCAAATGCGTAAAGATCAAAATACGTCGTTTTCAGTTAATCAAAAGAAAGAGCCCCCTTTTAAAAAGTTACAGGCAAAAATGCACGTTACCAAAAGAGCAAAGAAGTACGATTAAAAAAATGTATAAAGGAGGGTAATGATCCGAACACGATCGTATTAAATGCAGTGGGGTTGGTTCTGAAATCATTACGCAAAACACCGCAAGTGCGCGGGGTCCACCAAAGAACCCTTTTGATGATAATATATCGGGCAAACCCTTGAATGATAGGGAAATCAACTACGTAAACAAGTATGGGTGCAAAAAATATGACTTTCAAAAATCATTAAACGAAAGACGGAACGTTTAATAGTACACGAACTGGGTTTGGTGCTAGAGTTTTTACATATTTTGAATGAAAATGAAATTTTGGGTTACAAAAATGTAGTACGCACCCCTCTCATCATACCCTGCAATTAAGACAATAAAATTAGCAAAAAAGATACCTACCCTTAATTTTTCGACAAAAATATTTGGAGGAGAAACCCTAAATTTTCCATACAAAGTTCACCTAATTTCCTGGAAATGTCAGTTTATAGTTACTTTGTTAACGTTGTATCTCGTTATTCGTGATTATGTATTATTATCAACTTGGTAACAATGAAGAATTTGTCCAGGGTTTCTGGAAAACAGCTTAATTTTTGTAGATTATATGTTAACCCGTTCTCGTACGAAATTTAATAAATCTGGACGACATGACATCAGGCTTACACCAGATTATTATCCAAATTTTTACTTTAAAACTAGTATTGTAGAAATATTTGTTATTGTTCCCAAATTCTTTTGATTTTGTTATTGTTTACTAAGGTCAGTAAAGGATTCGTCTACTGTTGAGTGCCGTAATTGTTGTAGTACATTGAATATTTTTGTTTTCTCGTTTGATTTTGCTTACAGGAAATAACCCTTTAGATCATTGTCAGGGTTCTACTTCTACTTCTAAAGTTCTTCTAACGTTTTTCTTTCCTTGTTTAATTTCGTTTACAGGGATGCACATAAAGCATTGTCCTTTCCTGTTTCGGAAATTAAATTTTTTTTAAAGAAAACTCACTTTTACATAACAATCCGTTTATTGCGGGGACTGTAATTTTTGTGACACCCGTGCATTTTAGTTTCATTGTTTAATTTTGTTTGCAGGATTTACGTACTATCCTTTAAGTGCCCATAAAAGTATTAGCTGCTCCGCGTTTCAGGAACTACAATTTTTTTAAATTCGTCTTGTACTTGAATTATATTGGTTTGCTTGTTTAATTTTGTTTGTGCACCTGAAAGTATAGCTTCTCGCCCTTTTAAAAATTACAAAATTACAACAATTCACTTTTATATAACTATTCGTTTATTATCAATGCTGTATTTCCGCACGTTAGTGAGGGAGGTATTGCATTGGGGTAAAACATTACCCTTCCCTCTCACTTTTTTGTAATATAAATCGAATATTTTTGTTTTCTTATGCGGTTTCGTTTACAGGGTCGACAACCCATTCTTTAAATGCACATAAAAGCATCGTTTTTTTCCGTTTTAATAATTAGAATTTTGGACTGAAAACTCTTACATAACAAACCTCTTATTGTGAGAGCTGTAATTTTTTTTTGTTGATTATTATTGCCTCCCTTTTAGTGCACATAAAAGTAGATCCTTCCCGTTTGATAAATTACTAGTAATTTTAAGAACACTCGCTTTTACATAAGAATCTGTCTATTGAGAGTCCTGTCGATGAATTTTGTTTACAGGTTCTGCAAGCCACCATTTAAGTGCATATAAAGGTGCAACCCCTCCCCGTTTCAAAATTTTTCGCAATTTCCGCCGTCCATGGGCCGCATTTTTCGTACCGGCCACCTTTTACGTAGAACTAGGGAAGGGTTGCGTGTCGCATCCTTCCATGGATCCGATTTTATACTGTAAGAGTGTAGACTAAGAGTAGTTTGCAGATACTTTCATTACCTAAAAAGAATTTAACAGAATAATAAATAGACGAATAAAAAAGAGCTTTTTTTGGTAGTTGTTATGGCCTATTTAAGCTACTCCCAAAAATAATTATTATTATTACAAGGCAACTGATTTTGTGAAGGGGTACAACAATGCTAAATATTTCGTACAGATTCCAATCGTTCAAAAATTGTTAGGGGTTGCAGGACAACAATAATTCAAATTAGTGCCATTGGAAATGAAGAACTGTGGGATAATTTCGGTAAAACGCAAGTCATAGGTACCTACTATTCGAACTCAAAAGTGAATTTTATCAGCGCACAAACTGCAAAACTGCGCCTATTTCACCTAATCCCTGCGAAAGTTCTCACTCGATCCGGGACACTCTGTATTTACGTTCCAAAACTTTACTTGGTTTTAAATTACGTAGATGAAAAGCAAACTTTTTTAAATTTTGGCTTATTGTATGTGGCGAGGGGAACCTTGATGACAAGCTTGCACACGCACAATAATTAATTTCATTCATCTGAGGAATTCCACGCGACTTCGGATTATTGCTACGCAATTTCGGAATTTCCAAGATTTTGAAGTGATTTCGTATCGAAACAGAAATCTTTAGGTACCTTCTGCAGAGACACCTCTAAATAGCATTGTGCGGGTCACTCTGTAATTGGGCGCATACCTATTGAGGGCCCAAAACAAGAGAGGAATAATAATAAATAATAAATAAATCTTTGGGATACCACAAAACACGACCCTTACAATACAACATTGCCACGTTAGCATATATTTTCTTCTAAACTACGCGAATTCAACTTAAGGTCGCCATTTTTATTCGCAGTTAAACGTTTGCTGAGGCAGGGTGTTCCTAAATATGATGTAAATACTGAAGGGAGTAAATTCTTTGGCTTATTTTATGACTAAAGGTTCATATAAACATACATCCACAATTGCTTCGTTACCGTACACATTACAATATATAGATATACGTTATGCAACCACAAGGTATTCGTACTGAAGCCTTTTAAAAATTATACTTTCAAAATGGACCATGATCTCTTAAAAAATTACATCCTGTAGATTTTCACTACCATTGATGTAAATCGTTCAGCGTAACTAATTTTTCAAATTTGAGTGAAATATCTTTTTTTCTTTAAAGTTTTGTTGTTTTTTTTCTAAAGTTTTGTTAATATAACGGAGACCACAGCAACTTTAATTTCTTAATTTCAAGGTGCAGACAAGCGTTTGCATGATGTAATTCACTCATATGTAAATATTTATGTACTTATATTTTCAATATATTTCAATCTCAAAAACTGCAGAAGATATCGTGAGATATAAATAAGAAATTTAAATAATCTTGAAATATTTTAACATCCTGTAGATCGATAACGAAGCGTTTGCGGACCTATCTTTATATGAACTTTGAGTCATAAAATAAGCCAAAGAATTATCTCTTTCCGTATTTAGATCATATTTAGGAATAGCCGGTAGATCAGTTAAACACAATAATTGAACGAAATAAAAATATGTCATGCACTACAAAAATTACCACCCTTTTTTTTTAAAAATTACAGTTTTAAAATCAGGAGGATTGAAGTGACCAATTGTGTATCCTGTTAATGAAATCAAACCCTGTTGATGGTGTCATTTTTATTAGTTAAAGGATTGCCGATATTCCCATTAAACATAATTGCGTGTAAAGGGAATCTAGAAAAGCGGCAGGGCGGTGTGACCCATTTTTAATAGGCTAGTTAAGTACATGTCGCAGGACAACTATGCAAAATTTGAACCGAATCGGTCCAAGTCAGTTATCGTCTTCACATACAGACTGACAGACACCATCAACTTCCCTAGAAAACTTTGCTTTGCCGCTTAATAACTCAAAAGAGACAAAAATATTGTTGTACCATAAAAGTTACAAACGCTACAGCAGACGATTGTAGAATTTTATTAAAAATTACTTAATGTCATAGCGGCTAGGATGGACATGATGAACAAATTACATTCCGCCCAGTAGATGATTGTCGTGTTAGGATTTTAATACACCTTTAGAGGGTGGTTTATGTACCTTTTAAAGATAATCAATATTTGATGTAGGTACCAACTAAGCAGTATCATTGCTGTAAATGACGACCAATTATAAACAATTAGGGAGATTCTGTGCTAATCAATTCGCGAGTCAATTCGCTACCCCCTTAAAACTTACAATGAGTTTGTGGTGCTAAATTAAAATTTTTAGGTGTCCTAGTAAAATGATAGTGAATCACAGTTGCATTTCTGAAGTCTAAGCAATGTTTTTTAAACGCCCTGTATGTGTGATTAATAACACCAACATTTTTGACACAGATTATACTCCTTCAGTATTACAGACGGAGCATATGGGGCATATTGTTTTTATGAGTTACGATCGCGTCATTATGTAGGTACAGGCATCTGCAGTCGTTTCGATACAGTTTGAGCATTTTTATTGAAAAAAAATACGCGCTGGTGGAGTTACATTTAATCTGGATCAATGGAAGTTGCGGTTTCGGCCGTTTCAAGAAGTTAATTGCGACGTTTAAAATTATGGCTGTTATTAAAGGGGACGGCGATGTCAAATTCCTGCAGAGCACGTGTACCAGAAGCAGCTGTCTTTCGGAAAGCAGGGGACATTTTACTACCAACATATGTGTTTTCTCTAAATGAACGAACCGGGAAATCTCTTCGGCTATAGGAAGATAAGCGTGAATATTAGACAGAATATTATTGGCTAGTAGAAAGTGTACGTTTTTAAGATGGAATATATGGAGGGAATACACAAAACTAGAATCACTTTTG